TCCCGTTTCGCTATACTCGTCGTAGTGTTATAATAATTATTAGCCGTAAAAGCTGATAGGATAGTCCAGCATTTACAAAAACTCTACAAGTTTATTTAGAGTATATTACTAATTTAAAATATAATTTAATAACTTGATATTATTTCAGTATCATTTGTCTTAAGCTTAAGTAAAAAATTGAAGGAACTAAAGCCAATAAGAAATTATGTCTTAAGTAATAGATCGATGTAAACTGTTATAGGAAACATACTTATTTGCTATGCCTTTGATAGACCTCAATAATTTAAATTTTTATCTACCTAAACTTAGCTAAAATAATTGCATAAAAACAGTTTTACCATACTAAGCTTGCATAGTAGATATTTTAAAACCATCTATATGTTTATTATAAATGTATATAAAAGTCAAGAAGTGAAACCCCTCCAATGTGGAAAGCATAATTCTATCAAAGTCGTTGAACGAGAGATCGCTTTATTTTAAAATAACGCATCATTTCATAATGATAGTAGTAGAGTAATTCTTACAATTTTTTAAATTCATAAGGCTGCTACTTGTTCATAGTCAGACAATTTTAGATTGCAATTGGATATATTCCTTTTTATAATAAATGTTTAATGAAGTGGATTATTAATAATTAAGTATAGAAGCATGTATATATATCCTAGTTAGAAACGTTTCGGCCTAATACAAAACTATTATGCTTAAGCATGTTAGCTAAATTGAAAAAAAAAATTAAATATTTACCTAGTAACTTCATTTGAAATTTTGATGGTACTAATTGCTCGCCCAAAGACTTGCACTAGTTTAACTTTATGCTCAACTATTTCTTTGAGAAAATTCAGTATTTGATGCATGGGACACATTTACAATTACGGTATAACTGCGAAGTGCTTTCTTATGGGGAGAACAACTTTGAGAGAGCTTTGGGCCTTTCCAGGACGTACAGCAAAAGTAGAACAGGTAAAAGGAAGGTTTTTGGCTCCCTCTGCGATACAAAATAATAAGCGCAGTCCCTCTCGCGTTACTCTTATATAGGTCATGAAATAGTGCTCCTTTTCTGCCTTACATTAAGTGGAAATATTTTTTTGTGATAAAGCGTTTTAACATGACCGGTAAGAAGTCTTCGTTAAATTACATAGTAAAATTTATTCTATACTTAAAATTTATAAAATTTTATTAGTAAATAGAATCTCAAAGAAAAAAAGGCTGAAGTAATTATATATTTTTTTCTTTATAGAAGAAAAACAATGCTGATAATTATCACGTTCGACAGCGCTATTTTAATTTTGGGGAGTACATCTTAAATTTCATATTTTTATTCTTAAAAAATTCATTGGCGTTTTAACCACGCACTTGTGCTATAGAATAGAGATATATAGTAAAATTGTGGCCTACTAATCCATAAAATTTTTATAAACAACTATACACCTTCAGTAAGACATGTATTATTTATAATAACCTTTTCAAATGAAGTTTGCTTACTGTTGTAAGTTTTTTATTTATATAAATATCTTTTTAACTTAAAGGCACCCTGAAGGTGGAAGTTAAACTCAGAAAAATTCTATACAGAAAAACATCTAATTTGACCAGGGTCCCAATGCATCATATTTGGAGGAAATTATCGGTCTTTTCGTTGTATCTGTTCCAAAAAAAACATTTGTTTGTGTTCATCGTAATAAAAGCCATACAACGCAGTACAAAAGAATGCCTAGCTATTCAGGAGAATAACAATATTTTTAAAGGCACACAGTACTAATATTAAATTACTGCTAATTTAACAAATTTTAACTTCATTATAAGCGAATGAGTTATAAAAGGTTAACTGTAAACTTGTTTTGACTATTTTTACCTGAATTCTATGAGGTTACTCTTTTTCTGTTAAACTCATTTGTAAACATGAAACGCATTGAGTGTAACAAAACACACGCTACGGCATCGTTATAATCAATGAAATTTCTATAAGGATTTGGTATGGATTAGTAAAAAGGTGCTAAATATCGCAAACCACAGAAAGAATATTCAAGATGTCAGTATCGTTGTAAATTATTCAACAATATTTTATTCCATCAAAAATCTAAATAAAAATTACAAATGATTTACTATTATTTATATAAACAATATTTATTCTCAATATAAAAGTTTTATAATTAGAAATATATATTGTTTAGGAGAAAAGGGCCTATTATAATACTTTATTTGGGCAAAACTTTATTACTTTTGTACAAAATAATACTAAAAGTTTTTTTTATTTAAAACTTTTTATTAATCGCTATTAAAAGAGCGTAACTTAAAAAAAATTGAAGTATATTAAGCTTAAAAATTAAACAGGAAATTTGCGTCTAACATTCTTCTTTCATACTATTTATTAATATTATAATAACTATTGATTAAAACATTTATTAAATTAGCAATATTTTATAATAATAACTTATATATTCAATAATTATAATGAGTAAAAATAATGAGTAGAAATAAATTTGAGATGAATTTAGTTTAGTTCTTATATAACATAATTTATTAATTAATAAAATTTTATATAGAAAATCAAAAAGTACACAAGAGGAATCTAGTTTTTTTCTTGTGTACTACTTACCAATATTATATTGAAATATAACTTCCAATAAAAAACAAAAAAAAAGATTTTTAGTATTAATATATAATTAAAATTTATTAATCATAAAGATCGGTAAACACAAACTTATGAATTTAATTTATTTCTTTTATAAATATTTATTAATGTATAGCTATTAAAAAAATTACTTTAAAAAAAGACCTTTTTTGTTATTTAAATTTAAATTCATATAAAATAAATTGTCATAAAGAATTTAAAAAAGAATAAATTTGTACACAAGATAAATCTCTATTTTCTTTTATACTACATATATATAATATTATAATAATTATAATGAGAAAATACTTGAGAAAAAAAAAGTTTTTTAGTATTATTTATATAATAAAAATAGAAATAAGATTTGTAAAGTATAAGGTAAATACAAACTCAAGTTTGAGTTAAATTTTTTACGCCTATACTTATTAATATAACAGTGTAATATTAATTAGAATACTTCAAATAAAGCCTCGTAGTATCATTTTATAAAAATATATAAGTAGTTACAAAAATTAATGAAAGCGTGTGAAGGAATTTCATACTTTTACACTATTTGTTAATAGCGATTAACTAAAAAACTTTAACTACTGAATTTATAGAAGTACTGATTCTTATTTTTTATAATTGCGCTTACAGTATTTTAAATTAAATAACATTGAACAAAGAAAAGCTTCTTAAAAATAGCTTAAACATAAAATTATAAGATTATTAGACCAAATTATTAGTATAAATCATTGTGTGCTAATAAATGAATTTATAACTTACTAACTTGTAAAACTTTTATAATTGTCACTTACTTTTGTATAGTTTAATAGCTTTGAAAACAAGAAAGTTTTTTTTTTTTCAACTTTTGATGCGTTTTTCCTCACTGCCTATACATAACTCTATAAAATCATGTGTGCTTAAAGTAGATTTGTAAAGTTAATAGTTTGCTTATATACTTAACTGTCCCTTACATTATTCTAAATTACAATGGGAAACAAAAAGTTTCTTTAAAAACTTTTAAGGCGTTTCATTTCAAACTGCTTAATAATAGCTTACTACTACATAGTTTATTATAAATTCGTAATGTTTGCTAGTAAGTTAATTTTATAAACGGTAATAGTTAATATACTTGGTTGTCACTCACATTATCTAATTTAAATAACAATGAACAACGAAAAGTTTCTTTTTATAACTTTTGAGGTTGTTTTTTCTCTCCTCTTGATAATAGTTTATTTTCTAAATGATTTGTTTTATATGCTAATAAGCTGGTTTGTAAAAATTAATATAATCTTCATTAACAGTATTATAGCTTGTTTTCTACCAACAAGTTTTGATAGCTCAAGTTTTTTAAATATATTTATTTAGCAAGGAGATTCATTAATTTTTGTGTTTTAGTTTTTGGGTGTAGAAACTTTTTTTTATTAATCTAGCCAATTCTAGCTTGTTCCCTTTGGTTTTTTCTTTATATAATAGACAATCTTTTATATATTCGTAAAAGTTAATTACTTGTTTTTAGTTTACACGCTATCGATAAGTTAACTTAATAAGAAATTCAAGTGTACTAATAAATTTGGTTTTCTGTGAAGTAGCAATTATTTAATCTACTTTATTCTATCTTTTCTTTTTAAAAGTTTTAGTAGCGCAAGCTCTAGTTATTTTTTTTTCTTTTAGCTTTGTTATTTTCGTTCTACAGAATGACTTCAATAAAAAAGCAAAATTCGGAAAGTACAATATTTGAATAAATATCTGCAACAGAATGCACAATTCCTATTTGTTTTAAAAAACTTTTTTAATGCTTGCAATCGTTGCACGTAAAACCAATACCCTATTTCACTTTTTTTTTTTTTCCTAAGCTCATATTAGATTACGAAAAACCTTCAAGCTGGAGAGCATGCTTTTTATTAACAGTTAATAGGAAAAATAGTCATTTTGGAGATTTTCTTAATATTTATCGGAGAAGCAGAAGTTATTTTTTTAAGGTTTCATTCCCGTAACCAAGTCGGAAATAGTTGATTATAATTTATAATTAAAAGTATTTAATATTTGTCCCCAGTTTACACTGTCTCCGGCTCTCTTCTCGAGTATAACAGGGGGGTAGCCATTGCTGAAGAGAGCTCACTAGAGAGGGATTGCTATTACATGCCTTTGGCAAATATTATAGTCAAAAGTTCATATATCCTTATATTATTTTTTATTAAACCTAACCTTTAACCCCGATATATTTAAACGTTTAATGCAATGCAATGCTCTACTAAAAACATCGTTGTACTAAATAGATGATAACGTAAACGCAGGTAATAGACTTATTCTAAGAGTTTCGGAGTAAGGTACAGAAAAATATTAAAAAATCAACTTTATTAAGAATTATCATTACATTGCCTCTTATGGTTTATACAGAAAATACCAGTACCACCAAGTAAAAGGGAGCGTAATACGTACTAAATGGGTTTATTTACTATCCCTACCCCACTATAGGGGGATCAGGAGGAAATTTCAGTATTGATACTCGTGGTGTGTGTAGATCCTGGCTTACTTGATGTATAGCACTTAGTTTTATTAAAAGCAAGAAAGATTTCTAGGTTTCCTTTAAAAGTGCAGTTTCCATTAACATTGACTAATTCATTGTAGAGCGCCCGCGAGCAGCAAAGAAAATTTTGATTTTAATTTACTAGTAAATTTTAAAAGGTAATTAAAAAAAGGTTTGTAGGACTGCAATACTAAGGAATAGAAAATTACATGCCATGAGGGTACCAGGAAGCCACAAAAGCTTTAGCCACAATCTCAGTTAGAGGATTTCCTTCAAGATCCCTAATGGTTATGTAAAAGATAAATATCAATTAATATACCTAACAGGAGGAACACCGGGAACAACACCTGGAACAATACCGTTGCCCCGATAGGTGTTATTATAAAAGCAGTTTTACTAACATTATTTCTAAAATGCATTTATACTGGCCTTTTATAACCTGATTAGACTGATAAACTGTGCGAAGCCTCCGCTTACGCGGTTTATTTAGATATTACAAACAGAAAGTTTTTTGGAAAAACAATAAATCCAAACGTTTAGAAAACGATTGGAAAAAGTATAACATGTGAAAAGATACCTTCAAAAGCAACACAACATGATATGTATATGCAGGAAAGGAGCTATAAAATATGATAAAACGTACAGTAAAGTTAACTTCGTTAGCCACACGAAACAAAGAGAAGGAATACTAGTAATAGAGTTTCCTCCAAGATCCCTAAAAATATATAAAAAGATGAAGTTCAAAATTAAGATAAAATGTAAGGTATATTATTACATCTTATTAAAAATTACTGTAAAAAAAGTACAGAAGGAGAGTTATAGTGGTAGTACTAGAGGAAAGAGAATGTAATGCATAACATAAGCAAAGATTGAAGTGAATAAGTTAGTGCATCGTAGCTCCTACAATTAATTTATTCCTATCTTAAAATAAGGTCCATCCAAATTAAGGTGCCTTATAATACCATTCCCAGGAGGAGTAACAAATAGACTAAAAGACTTACAGTTCAGTCAAGGCCACGAGATGTGAAAACGAATCGTCTTCAATTGATTTTAATGTCTAATTCCATAAAGCTCTACAGGTAATATGTTAATAACATAGTTATAGAATTTAAAAGATACTGAACACGATTATTAAGACGCTTAACAAATATTACAAGGAAGTAACTATATAATTTATCGAGTAAGCGGCGAACATTTTATGATTGATTCGAGTACGTGAGTGAACAAAATATTATTATATAATAAAATACTTAACGATAGGATCGAAATTATGGCCTTACAATAAAGTCAAATTACCAAGGCCAGAAAACATTCCTTTGCTGATGAAGGTTAGTTGGTTAGAACCTAAATCCCTCATAGTTTACGTCAGTACGTATATTAGAAGCAAAATTAAAAATCCGCATGGTAATAATTAAGCCTAAACTTCATCCAATTGGTCCTTTAATATTAGGGAAAAAACAATATATATTGCAAATATGAGAACTCAGAAAAAATTAAATCTAGCTAACGAAGAGGGCTGTAGATGAAATAGATTAGCAAGGTAAAAAAAAAATTTATCAATTGACTTATGGAATAACCCCCCAACGTTTTAATAGAGATTAAGAATCTTACAGTTTAGTCAAGGCAACGAGATGAGAAAACGAATCGTTTTTAATTGATTTTATATTGTTATTCAATAAGTTTCTATAAGTAATATGTTACTAACATTGCAAGAGGATATAAAAAAATACTGAACACGATTATTAAGGCTCCTAACTATATAACAAGGAAGTAACTATATAATTTACCGAGTAAGCGGCGAACATTTTATGATTGCTTCGAGTAGCGTGAGTGAACAGAATATTATTATATAATAAAATATTTAGTGATAGGATCGAAATTATGGTCTTACAATAAAGTCAAATTACAAAGGCCCGAAAACATACCTTTGCCGATGAAGGTAAGTTGGTTATAACTTAAATTCCTTAAAGTTTACGTCAATTATATTAGAAGCAAAATTAAAAATAAGTATGGTAATAATTAAGCTTAAAATACATCCATTTGGTTCTTTAATATTTGTGAAAAAACAATATATATTGAAGTAAGAAAACTCAAAAAAAATTAAATTCTAGCTAACGAAGAGGGCTGTAGACGAAATAGATTAGCAAGGTAAAAAAAAAAAATTTTTCCACGTTTTTTGCTGGATATCGTTACACTCTTTTTGGGGGCTCCTCCTGTGGTTTTCCTTTGATGTCACACCTTTTTTCTAACTCTCCTATAGAGTTTCTCCGTTTCCTCTTCTTTGTCGGCTAGGAACGTTTTGCACACCCTAGCGGTGTGTTTAGGGTTATTGTCCTATATAAAGGTAATATTATTATCGATTAATTGGACTCCTGAGAGTATCGCACTGGTTTCCAAAATTTGGAGATAATTTTCTGTGCACATGCTCCCAGCAGTATTTTGACCAAACTTATAAAGCCAGCAAAAGATAAACCCCACACTAACACGGGCTTCCGTGCTTCACTGTTAGAACTACACATGCCGATTTTCATCCTTGTTCCTTCCAATAAAAATTCTACGTTTTTTTAGTTGAAGACCTCGTATTTGCATTCGTCAGTCCACAACACGCTTTCATAATCCCTGCGCCAATTTTTTTGTGTTCTGGCCCACTGAAGACGTTTTGTTTTGTTCCCTCGTCAAAGTACTGGTTACGTACAGTACGCCGACCGTATAAATTGGTTTCTTATAAGCGCCTTTTTACGTTACTGACGGAAACTTCCCTTTAACCTTCCCGACTAAGAGCCGCGGTAATTATAGAAGCTGTAAGTTGTCTAATACGCTTATCAGCATAGTTCTTTGGTCGTCGGCTGCTGAGGTTGTTAGGGTAGTTAAACCTTCAAACCTTTTAAAATTAACTGTAAACAAATGTATATATACAGTGGAGACTTACAGACGTGACTAAAACAAAAAAAATACTGAAAAAAAATTAACACGAGTGCCGTTTATTTTCATGAACCATTATATACTAACACCTAAGCAATGAATTAATCTAAATAACCATAAAAATTGCCTAAAATGGCAATTTGCGTTAAAGCATGAACTGAGCTCTTTTCCTCAAAAGAGGTGATCTGAGGTAGACCGGGGCGCTTAAAATCTTCAAACTTTCCGCGTTCTAGAAACGACGAACTGTTAGATGGACGGGAGATATATTCACACCAATTTATTCGAGGATGTGACGCACTGTTTAACCTTCCTGGGATAGAGTTATAATCTCTGAAAATTTTGCAATTTCCACAGGTCATTTAGATAAACAAACTACCTTAAAGTATTCCTGATAACTCCACTTAAAAAAACTATTTGCTTTCCCTAAGTAATCAGGCGCTGCTGAGAACTCGGTCACTGCCCTGTAACTCGATTTCAGGGAAGCCTTTATCTTAAAACAATTGAATCCTAAATTTCTTTTAAAATAAACATCCACCCAGCAAGACAGACATGTTTGAGCACTATAAACTGGTCACAGGAACGCATTAGAGATTTTTTGGTAGTGTTTTATAATATTTTATCTACTGTCCATTCTTCTGTGAGCGATAGGGTATATGCGAAATTATCATTTGTCTATAAGCTGACAGCGCGAGAAGATAAGCTTTGAGTTTCTATACGATCCAGGCCAAGCTAACTCTATAGAGAGAAAAGGGATATGCAAAACTACTGTGAAGTACAGGGAAAGGGAACCTAGATTAGCAAGCATTAGGTGAATTTCACACCTATTCTCTCTATCCTAGCGGTTTAACGTCAATTAGTGACATAAATTTAACATTAGAGTTAACAACTTCAACCCGTTTCATGTAAAAAAACTTTTAAACTGAGCACATTTTTATTCATAAACTTTTATCTGGATTTTATTTATCACGTTGTACTTGCTCTATGAAAGCCTCCTCTTTTCACAGAAAATGTTAAACTTGTTAGTTATAATAAATATCTTATTCGAATATTTCTGAAACGTAATGCTAACCGGATAAAATAAAGTTGGTTGCTTATACTGCTAACGCTTACTATAGAAACTCTTCTCTTAAACGCTACCAAACAATTTTATGTGATATCTTTTACTCAAGTATTCTTCGCTTGTCGTGTTTATAAAGTCCCGGTGGTTATTTTAATCCACTAAATAGGAATAATCATTTTTTAAATTTATTATTATCGTTTCATCTAAAACTATAAACATTTAAAAAATTGACACGGGAACTAAAATAGGAAAAAAAAAAGTTTTCAATTAGTTATAGGTTTCTTTTTCTGTATTAGTAGCTTTTTAAAAAAAATTTTAACAATTTTTTTTTGTTTTTAATGTTGTAATAAATATACAATCATTTTTGTTAAGGACTTAAAGATTATTTAAAAGTTTTCCTCTCTTTTATTACTGAGATATTGCTGAGAGAATGCCAGATATTTTTGTATAATTACAGTTTAATTTTTGACGTGTTGCATGCAGGAGGGCTAAAATGATGGTCTTTTGTTTTCTTCTAATAAATATGAAAGTAACCTCTACAAATATAACTAGACGATACTAATCTCTTAAAGGTCCACTATTAGGCAAATAAAAAAATTAAATGCTTTAAAGAATAGGCCAAGAAGTTTACCTTGTGTGCTTGACTCCATAATGCGCCATTTAACAAATCTCAAATAACAAATAGATAGTAGCGCTGTCAGAGGTTTGCTTTCACGGCTAGAAAGTTACCCTAAACAAAATGTCACTCATTTGTACTACAAGTGCAACACTGAGCTTATTTAGGTTAATACCAAATTACAACCTTGATAATTACTTAATATAAATTTATATATTTTTTCAGATACAACAAAACTTTGTAAATCTTTTAAACTTCTAATTAAGACTGGTTAGAAAGACCGAGAGAAAGTGTAAAAATCCGATCCTTATTTTTATCACTCACATGGTTTCCTAAAACCGCCTTTCCACCACATTATTATAAGCCCTCAAGAAAGCTGAAAAGTGTAAAATATTGGTGTATAAATTATTTATTTATAAATGACAGTTGCTGGTTCTCGATAGAGTTATAAACTTCTAATACTTGAGCTCTCAATCAAGAGCGATCGCAGATATACTACAAATAGCATTCAGGGTTCATTATTTTATTACATTAACAAAAAAATTAAAAACCAGCACTTAAGCGCGTCACGTGGGCAGCGATAACGTGCCCCTTCCCATGGCTCGTAAATAAGTTCGCTCAGCAGCAGGCGAGAAGGGTGCCGGGTAAACCTGACGTAAAGGACCACGGCATAACGTTGGAAGACTATCTTTAAAGGGTTCAGCTGAAGGTCCCGGTGAAGGGCATCATTTAGCGCAAAACACGGCGCCTTCGTCAGAACAAGAAGCAATATGTTCTGTCGCACTTAATCGTAGTGGAGTCATTGGTTCAAGTAGCAGACTCGTATATCATTATTGGCTGCATCTAAGAAATACACAATTACCGCTTGTTTCGGAGAGAAGACTTGCTCTAGCTATACTTTTGTAAAAACATCCGGCGCTCTAAGGTACCAAAAATATTTTTTGAAATTTTTGTGACCAATTTTTTTCCTGAAATACTCACCTCTTTGATTGAAGATTCGTAATACATGTGTTACCGCCTTCTAAGCACGCACAAATTTTGGCAAAGCCTGTAAAATTTTATAATATTTAAATTATAAGGCTATACACCCAGGATTAATTTTTGATTTAACTTAAGTTTCTAATAAATATAAGTTAGAGGAGTGTATTGATTTATTGTACTACGACTCCAGAAAAGAAGATTTTGAAGCTGATGACCTCTTCCAGTTACAAAGGCCTGCGCAAGAGCAACCGCGTGGGGCCTTACTGATACCGCTGTCAGCACTTTAGGCGCGCGCAGTTCTTCCTCTACTCCTGCTTTCTCACGTTGCTTTAAGTAAGGTGAGAGGCTATCTTACGAAACTCTATAAGTTCAGGACCTATTTACCACGTGTGAATGCTTAGAACACCCTTAAACTGCCCCTACCAACCCATCAAACTCCACTTCTAACTTGAATTCGAAGAGAGCTTAAGTCCTAATTTTGGCCAAAAAGATTTGAAAAGATTTGTAACAGTAGCAGCAAGCAATACTCGTCTAAAGGGTCCAGCAGCTGAAGGCCCCGGTGAAGAGCTTCTTTCGCACAAACCATGGCGAGCCAATTTTAATTTTTTCTGGCGCACTTGAACTGCCGGCTCTATAGCAGGGGTGTATAGGCCCCTGGCAGCAGAAGCGTATGTCATTATTGACTATATCGAAGTCCTACACAATTGCCGTTTGTTTCGCGGAGAAGACTTGCTCTTGCCATGTAGCAAAGGGGTAGAGCGCCTTCGCTGCGGTCTTGACCTTTGCCACTACTTAGTCCAAGCGTGCGGCTAACAGGAAAATTTCTTGTCATATGCTTGAGAACACTACGGAATTTTCCCGCCATCAAAGGTTAAGAACGCCCTCCAAGGGGACGCGTTTCTTAGTAATTAAAAGCGCTTTGCTCTTCATCGCACTTATAGAAACTTTCCAATTACGGCCCAGTCAACGAAGGCGTTAGAATAGAGCTGTAGGTGCTTGCATAGCAAGGTGAGAGACTTCGACGATGAGTAAACGGCCGTTTAATCGACGTAGAAAGCGATGCGTGTGTGGATTTGATGGTTAAGTGCACGCGTTGCT